CGCCCCCCACGCTGTCGGAGTGGCCGCGGGGCTCTGCCTGGCGAGCCGAGCTGTCACACTGTGGGCGGGTGACCACTGAAGTGCACCTGGGAGAAGCCAGTCTGAGGGGCGGGGACACTCGGGTGGCTCACTGCCTGGCCTGGGTTCCATCCCCGTCCCCGTCCCCGTCCCCGTCCCCGGGGCTGCAACCCAAAGCCTAACAAGCCAGTGTGACAGGCCACAGAGTGTGTAGAGCCCAGCCGTGTCGCCTCTGGAAGGGAAAGATGTGGGGGGGGTCGACAGGGACCCTGACAAGGGACACGTGGCCTCAGGCCCTGGGCCACGGCAGAGGAGGTCCACTACCAGGAAGGAGGCCTGGCCTGGAGTCTGGGCGGCCGTGTGTGGGTGCGGGTCCGTCCACTGGGACTGGAAACCCTCGGGATGCTGGTAGTGGAGGCCGGTCGMGTGGGGGCGGGGGAGGGGAAGCGCTGACCCTGATCCTTGTGACCTTGGAGCTCCTCCAGAATCAAGGTTGGAAAGACCTTGGCCGGCTTCCCTGCCCTGAACTGGGTGAGCCAGGAGCCCCGTGTCCATTTCTTGGGGAACATTGTCTCCTTTTCGGAGATAGATCAGATTTTATCCTTCCTGGCTCAGAAACGCTCCATTAGCTTCCCGCTCCTGGGAGTAAAGATCTGGAAGGCCTCCTGGTGGCCCAGAGTGCCCTGGTGGCCCAGAGTCCCCTGGTGGCCCAGAGTCCCCTGGTGGCCCAGAGTGCCCTGGCTCCAGGTTTCCTCCTCTGCCATCTCCTCATGCCCAGGCTCATCCCATAGCAGCAACAAACCCTTGGTCCCACCCCAGGGCCTTTGCACGTCCTGAGCCCTCTGCCTGGGCTGCTCTGTTGTGCACACATTCCCTGCTTTCGACTCTTCASTCCCCTGCCTCCCGTTGGAGGCCCGGCCTGTTTTCCTTCTCTGCACTGCACCATTGCTCTCAGGCAGATGCGGAGTGCTTCTGTTTTTTCCTGATTATCTTCCACTAGAGCATCAGCTCTGAAGGCAGGGACGGCCTTTGCCTCAGGTGATGTGGCTGATGGTGGCGTGGCTCCCGGGCTGAGCTCTTTTGAGTTTGGGTGCTGGGGGGACATCAGCCAGCGAGTCCTGCCGGGCCAGGGGCACCACCTGGTGGGTTGGACACAGACCCTGTGTGTGGCCTGCTGGCCGTCCACCCCAGCTGGGCTCCATGTGGCAAGGAGGGGGCTTTATCTGGGGTGGCCGCGCTCCCCGCAGGGTGCCGGAACCTTCCGTGATCTCTTGCAGGCCTTGGGATTCCTGCTGTGGATCGTCTGCTGGGCCGACCTCTTCTACTCGTTCTGGGAAAGGAGTCAGGGCGTCTTCGTGGCCCCCGTGCTGCTGGTCAGCCCGACCCTCCTGGGTGTCACCATGGTGAGTGGGCGCCACTGGGAACCTTGGCCATYGCCAGGCACCGCGCAGGCCCAAACCGCGGCCCGCTGAGAAGGGACGGTGAAAGCCCAGAAATCTGACTTCTTCTGAACAACCCCAGGGACTGGCCCCGCCAGAGTCCAGCTGGACAGGGAGGTCAGCGGGGCCCATGGGAGGGACATGCACACCCCTCTTGCCACCGTAGGGACCRCTGCCCTCTCCCTTCCCCGAGGCGGAGTGACACCTCGTCTTCCATGAAATCTCAGACACTTTCCCCAGCTGCGGGCTGTGCGTGAGGGGTGGGATGCTAAGCTGGACAGGRAGCAGCCCCTCCCCCTGGGCGGTCCTTGGTCGGCGGGCAGTGCCCATGGTTGAGCCGTTTATTAATTATAGCCCATCGGCTGCGAGACAGCTTCTGATCTGTCCCCTTCCAGGGGGTGGAAGCTAAGGCACAGAAGGGTTAAGGGCTTTTTTTGTCACATAGCCACGGCGGTAGAGCCGGGTTCCAGCTCTGGCCCAGCACCTGCCRCACTGTACCTTGTTTGTTTACTGTGACTCTTTGTTTATTATCTGGCTTTCCCACTGGGGTTGGCTCCCTTGTGACCTCAGAGCCTGCAGGCACAAGGGACATGACACAGGAAACAGTGGGCAAATATTGTCTTACCCRTTCCCCGAGGGCGCGGGGTAAGGTGTGTGGCGGCTCCGGGGGGCTCAGAGCGTGCGGGGCAGGGAGCTYGGGGAGCCGGCGGGTGCAGGGTGCACAGGGAGGGTTTGCTCCACACTCGGCCTCACACACGGGGCACCTGTGGAGGGTGCCCCTGCCCGAGTTCCCTGGGGCCACCCCGTGGTCACCCTCCCCGCCCCCCCACCCTGTGGCCACTCAGGTGCCTCCCGTCCTGCTCTGCGCCCCCAGAGCACCGTGGGCACGTCTCGGGCACAGCGGCTGCAGTCTGGCTGCGCAGCCTGTGGCCGGGTMTTACTGGGTGGCCTCGCCGCCCGCTGCTGGGCCATTCCTGGTCACAGGAGGTGTGGGCGGGGGACGGTCAGTCTAAACAGTTGTCCAGGTGTTCGGAGCCCATTGGTGGCACGAGGCGGGTGTCTCTGGCAACGCGTTTCAGGTTGAGGTCTGGTGGCCGGCGTGCGGTCCGTGGTCTCTGGTGGCTGGGACATGTGTGGCCATTGGAGGCCCCTTTGGCTGCTCCCACAGGGTGTGGACACACCTGACCTTTGGTGGTGGTGGCAGAGCCCCAGGTGTGCCTGTCCCGCCCTGCTGTCCCCCCTCTCGTTGTGGACACTGGTCAGGAGCATGAAGTTCCTGGACGCCTGGGTTCTGGCCACGGCCCATTGCTGCACCCCGGGTCCTGAAGGGAGAGGTTTTGGGCCAGGGCGAGGCATCCTGAAGAGCTGACCAAGGAGAGAGGGGAGGCCGGAGCCCCTGGACTGACGGGCCCCAGTCATGAGGGGAGGAGGCTGCGCTGGGCAGAGTGACCCCGGGCCTCAGAGGCAGAGCCCTGGTTGATGGGCTCTGGGGGGAGCG